AATGGGAAAAATTTGAATTATTTTCGGATTAAACCGAATGGCTCACCTTTCATATGATTATTATCTTTTAATCACGGGTTTGCAATTTTTACTTTCAAATCATCTGACTCTATTATTAATGGTAATTTTTTTTTTTATCAGTAAATCATATGAGTAATAAATAATTACACTTTTTATTATAGTCACGAGTGTGGCACTGCCTTTGTATTTGAATTTAAATTTCAAAAATTATTTTACCAAATTTGTTATTTGACTTATTTTGACTCAGTTCTAACTCGGTGATTTTAACTAAAAGATTGTACAAATATGAAAAATCAAATTATTTTATAATTTTATTTTTTAAAAAAAAAATTAATATTTTATTTCTAATTTCCTTTTATAGGAAACACTGTTTTTTTTCCATTTTCTGCTTGTTAAAATATCGGTGTGAAATTTTTTAATTATAGATTTTAGGTTAATGAATTAATTTCATTCTATTGTACGTGACCCTTTTTAATGGATCATTATAAAAAAAAAAAGATTCTATTGTCAAAAGAAAACATTGAAAAAAATTCATGTGAACGCGCTTAAAACGTATCATATTTACTTTGTATGATTTTGTTATTTATATTTGATACATGATATTATTAAATTACAAAGAAAGTAAAAGCAATGAAAACTAATGAAACTAATGAAACTCTTGTCTTAAAAAAGTGTATTGAAAAAAAAAAAAAAAAGTGTAAAAATAGGTATTTAAAAAAAATATACATTATAAAATATAATATTTATTTATCTATATATATTTTTTATAATACATAATATATACTTGATATTATTATTATGTGTACATATTATACTCATTTCTATACATTCAATCTTGTTCGGATATTATTCGTTCCCTTTTTATGTAAACATTGTAAACATTGAGACATTAAGATATTCATCTACAGGAGTTAAAACTTAAAAAAAAAAAAAAAATCTTTCAAATAAATTCGACACAATAAAGTCCTTTTCATTATGATTGACAGGACTTTATAAGAACTCCGTAAAATTAATTATCTAAATAAAGAAATATAATATATATATAATATATGTATATATATATTTATTTATATATGTAATTATATTTTATATTCTTTATATATTCTTTTTTCTGAATTACCTAATTACATATCAAATATCAAATACTTTCGTAGATTGATGACAAAATATATTAAATAATCTTTTTTCCTTCGCCCCCTTAATAAAAACAAATACGTATTTCATCAATAAAAAGAAACAATAGATTTTATTTCATCATCATCATCATCAAAAAAAAAAAAGATGTTCATATGAAGATTATTTTATATCGGAGTTGAAAAAAGTTGAATATTACCTAAATTTTTCTTTTCCTATTAGATGTTCCGGGTGGCTAAGTAAAATTTTGCTGCGCACGGCTATGCGCGTGACTTAAACCTCATGATCAATCTCTTTTTTTTTTTTGAATGTCTATTTTCTGTCTGAAAATCATCTAAATATTAAATATTTATCCAACTACCGCGTGATGAAATAAATCAATCAATTGTAAAAAAAAGTAATAGGAACAAACTTTAATAAACAAACAAAAATGGATGTTGCTATTTTCTGATTTGACAAATATCACGATGGAAGTAAAATACCGATGTTGTATCACATCACTAATATAAATCGGTAAGAAGTTCCGGAAGTATTATTTCGGACTCCACCGGGTCTTGTAAAAGAGACTAGAACTTTTTATTATATACAACACATTTTATTTTTGGGCGTCAAAAAAAAAAAATCTAATCTAAATTGACTTTTGATGGAAAAAATTTTAATTTTTTTTTTTTTCAAACTAAAAAGAAAACTGCATTTTTG